GGCGTAAAAAGAAAAAACTGCGGGAAGACAGAAGTCAACAGATTGCATATGACACTTTCTGTACTACTCTCCTCCATTTTGTCCCATACTTGTTTAGTTCACTTTAAGTGTCTAAAGTAATCTAACAGCTGAAGATTAACCATTTCAACATGATTGAAAAACTATGAACATCAAAAGCTTCGTCAAATATAATAATCTTCTTTCTTGAGTCGATGGCAGACCAGCTTGTCAGTTCAATAAAAAAAATTACAGAATACCATGCTGATATAGATGCCTTTTCACATATATCTGATAGTTACCTATACAGCAGTATAGATCCATTTTAACAAAAATATCACTTAGAAATATAAATGTTCCAATGGTAAGATGAAACATAAGAAAAAAAGAAAGCAAACTCACTCATCCTCTGCATTGGTAAAAAGCACCCGATTTGCAACAGCAGGAGGAGGTGGCTTGTGAGGGTATAGGGCTGGGTTGAATAACGGCAAAAACCTCTGAGCTAATTTTGCAATATCCTTTTGAACCAGGGCAACTGGTCGGTCCTTGGCTTTCTCGAGCAGGGCTGCGGCCATTGTCTTCTTGGCCTGATTGCCTGGTGAAGTGTGAAGGGTCCCTCCAGAAGCCGAGGGGTTGCTTTCCATTTCTCCTTGATCATCAGACTCAGCAGAACACCGAGAATTATGAATAGGAAACAATGGTATCTTTTGACAGGAGAGCTCAGGACCACACTCGATCTGATATCTTTCATGTGCTCGGACAGCTGTCAAACATTATGACCGACATAAGCACACATTTAAGAACAAGAAGCAAACAAGAAAACATTACTTCACCATGACATACCAGAAGAAACATCATCCATAAAGTTTTCAACTAATCTGAGAGGAGCTACATCCATAACAGACAGCAGCGGACCACATGCGTAAGGCATCCATGAGGTGCATTCAGGATTAGGAGAACTTCCAGCCATATCATTGAATATACTCATATTCTGATGCAAATTTTCATTGCCATCCCTAGGTGGTATCATTTTCTGAACCCTGTTTGACACTGAAGGATGAGGGAAAAAGCAATAGCTCGGTTGTGGAGCTGATCTCCATGCCAATACTTGATCACGTTTCTGAAGCATCTCTCCAATTAATTTCTTTACTTCAGTAGCAACATTTCCTTTAACAGGCTCAAGAACACTGAGAGAAAACACCTGAATAAGAAGCTGCAGATGCTCGTGAATCAAACAATGCAACTGCCCGATCTGATGCGGGGTGAATCCAATGGGAACGCTGTTATTTACAGGTGCCGTGTAAGCTGCTGGAGGGATGTTGGGCACAAGGTGTTTCCCATCAAACGGCGAAAAAGACCCAACAGGCCCACATGGTAAGATGGGCTGCAATGGCCTATTCAACTTCCCTGAATGCATCTTGCTGGTTGATTTAGACACTTTTTTGCCTCTACTTAGCCTGGTAATTCGTCTCTGTTCAACTTCTTCGGGTTCACTTTCCATTTCCAATGCCTCCTCAAGTTCAAGTTCAAAGTCAGCATCATTTTCATCTTCGTCATCGGCATTTACATTCTCCAGTAAGTTCTGGCAATCATCGCCTCGCAGAACACCAGCAAGAAATTTCCTGTATTCCTCTTCATCATCAACATTTTGAAGGTCATCCTCGTCATCAGATTCTTGAAGGAAAGTTTCGAGTTCATCAAGCGTGAAGCTCGCAAGAGAATAACGGGCCCTAGTCCGCATACATATAGCACCATCAGCATCCATATCCTCCATCACCGGTTTCTTGGAATTTGTAGCATGGCTATCATCTATCATGCTATTAGGCTCATTTTCCTTTTCACATGGAATCCTAGTTTCAGATTCAGTAATCAAAACTGTATCTTTATCTGCATCTGTACAACCCACCTCTTTGGAAGGATCAGCCGTTTGCGTCACCTTTTCTTCACCATGATCAATATTTCCACTCATTTGGCTCTCTTTCACACTTTCTCCATGACTCTCCACAGTTTCTTTGTCAACCGGTATACAAGATTTTTCCCTACTATCAGCAGCATCAGTATCCAAGTCTTCTACTTCCGAACTCAGGCTCGAAGATGCCTCTACAGAATTACTTTCTTTCAGGAACGGATTAAAGTCGGCATCTTCATCCTCATCCTCTTCTTCAGGAACATTCTCACTTTCATTAGTATCCCCTTCTTTGTTCTCAGGAAGGACATCTTGGTGATTTTTTTCTTGAACATCATCAGACGCAGGAGTCGAACGACCCGACATTTTTTATTTTAAGAAAGAATGTGTACAGAGGCTATCTAATATGCATCACAACAAACAAAAAATATTCCAATCAAGCTTCACGATATGTTCCCGGTTGCATATTAGCAGCCAATTAACCCAAAACGAAATCAAATTAAGCATTCATATCTCAATCAAAAAGAAACTAATTCACCAATGCTTAAAAAAATGCTTAAAAAGATACAGCTTGATCGCATTGGGATACTGATAAAAACTTTTGCCCGATGCCCTAAATAGAATAATTCTCTTTCATCATACCTAGCCGAGAATACCACACTAATAGCAGTCGTGGGCGAGCTCAAGTACAAAAAATGAGGCCCTGTTAATAGCCGAAATTTGATTTTACGTCAGAGAAGGTGATGCGTACCGGTGCTCAATAATTCTGGCGGCGGCGGCGATTGCTCCGGCGGCCAACAGCGGTGTGGTTTTCGTCGCCTTTCTAATTTCCCCGTCTCTTTCCTCTTTTGACTCTTTTTTTTTTTCTAATTCAATTTGGGCTCCGACTCCGACTTATCCGATTTTTCTATGCAGCCCCCCGATTATTTCCTCCTGCCTCCTACGTGGCACAAACATGTGTTAAAATACATGACAGGTGTAATTTAGTTTTATTGTACTAGACTACATAAAGAAAATAATAATAAAATAAAGAAGAATGAATTCACGAGTTCTTCTTCTCACCTGTCACCACGCACGCGGTATTTCTCGGAGCCGCGCGCCTCCCTGCCGGTGCCGGATCCGGCGCGATCACTCTCAAAGAAGAAGATATCGTCCTGTCGAAGAATGACAGAGTTACCTGCGCGTCGTCGTTCTGCTGCGGCTGCGGAGACGGCGAGGCCGTGGTCGGAGTGGCGGAAGTCCCGTCCGCCGCAGATGACTGCTAGGAAGGCGAGCGCGACGACGCCAGCAGATTTCGCTTCATTATCAGTCGAATTTAAGAATTTCTTATTTCCCCCAATTATCAATCGAATTTAAGAGAGTCAGATTTTGCCCAGCTAATCGATTTTAGGGATTTTGGGACAGTGAGTTACATGAATTCATTCCTTTTGTTTTCATGTCAACTTATAAATGATGAGATGTGATCTGTGAATTAAGTTCATGTCAACTGCTGTGAGAAGAAGAACAGGGATGACGGAGTGAGAAGAAGACCAGGGATTTTGGGATTACAGTTCCGTGAATTAATTCTTTACTTTTTTTATTTTATTATTATTTTCTTTATCTAGTAAAATAAAACCTAATTACACATGTAATGTATTTTAATACACATGTTTGTGCCACGTAAGAGCCACATAGGTGGATGGCTCTATAAAAAAACAATCGGGTGGCTCCATAGAAAAATCGGAGGAAGAGATTTTGCCCGAAAATTGACCGGGCAATCATGGTTGTGTAGACGGGTACGTTGGCGACATATAGGAAGAAGTGGAGCTCAGATTTCGAGCTTGGACGAGTCTAAACGGGCCCAAAACGCAAAGTCGCACGAAGCACATATTTGGTGTGGTGGTCATAAGCTTTGAGAGAATTGGATTTCAAATATAATTTGGCCATGCAAGCATCATTGAATAGAGAGGTTCATTAGCGACGCGTAGAAAAAAACGAAACTCAATTCCGAGTTCGGACGAGCCCAAACGAACCCGAAACGTAAAATCGCGCTGTCCAGGCCATAGCGGCACTAAGCCTGGCTTACCTAGCGGTGTTATACCATGTTAACGACCCCAGAGGCTCGCACTTTCATCCCTTAGCGCCGCTAATCCCCTTAGCGGCGCTAAGACCACCTGCAACTCCAAGAATAGTATAAAAAGCCTCAAAAACTCGTTTTTTCTCTAACTTTTCACCACCAGCTCGAAGGGGGAGGAACCCTAGGTCCGAAAATTGCCTCCCCCCTTCATTTTCCTTCATATTCTTCTTCTCTTCTTCTTTTCTCCATTTTTCATCTTCTTTTCTTTCTTTCTCCTTCCCTTCTTCTTCTTCTTTTCTCCTCTTCTCCATCTTTCTTTTCATTTTTCTTTCTTTTTTCTTTCTTTTTTCATTTTAGGATTAAACTTGTATTTTGGATTCAACACTTGGATTGAGATTAAGTGTAAGTTTTTTTCTTGTTTAATTCATAAAAAATGTTGAATTGGGAGAAATGATTGATTGTGTTGAATTTATTTTGCGTAGCTAATTTCGATTGCTAGGGATATGAGATGATTGTTCTTGTTTAATTCGTAATTGTTGGGCTTTAATTTGTTTGTTCTTGTACGAGTTGATTATGTTAGGAATTGATGAATTCTTGCTTGATAATTTGATACAACCTAATTTATTGATATAATCAAAGAGTGACACTTCGATTTTGCGATTGAAACGATTGAATATTGATTTGTTGAGTTAGGGTTTGTTGATTCCACGTGATAAGTTGATTAAACACCTTCTAATTGAATTAGCGACTTTTAGAATCGAAAGGGGAGGAGTCGTAGAACTAGGCTCGTTTAGAGTAGACATGTTCGGAGATGTATTGTCTATAGGTTTCGGATTGAAGTACACGCTTGTCGATGTCCCTTCCCTTGTTACGAAGAGTTATTGGGACTGGATTATTGGCCGGTGTTGTATGCACGAACTTGCTCGTCTATGTTCAATCCCTTGTTACGAAGAGTTATTGGGAGCGAACCGCGAGATGTTTAAGCGAGAGTATCAATCTTGAACCGAACGATTAATTGTCCCGCTTTATGTTTCGAACTTGAATTAATCATCCTCGATTCCCTAGCTTCTTTATTTTTGTGTCGTTTATATTTTTAGGTAGATTTATGTTTTATGTTATTTCTTAGTTAATAATCAAAAACTTTTCGCTAATTATTTTCGCTATCCGCAAGTGTACGGAGTAGCTATAGGTAGTGGCGAGCAAGGTCGTATTCCATAGAGATTGTAGTTAAATTAATTAAGTACTAAAATAATAACGATTAAATATTATCTAGACTAGTGAATTGAATGATGTATAAACTAAGAATTAAACTAAAAACTAATATATCTAAAAAATAAAAATAAAATAAGATACAAACAATAGATTCTAGGTTAAGCGTTCCTCGGAATTAATTCATGAATCATTTATATTCAAACAAACCTTATTTAATTTTACCAATCGTAGAGATAATCGCTAAATTGATTTCAAACCTTTCTCTCGAACAAGTCAAATCGTAGATATTAATTGTTATCTATCTCCTCTCGGTCTCAAGATGAACAACTAACTCCCATAAGTTCCTAGGATTTTCATTCTCTCGCAAGGTCCTATCAACCTCTCGGTCTGTTTATTCTCTTACGTTATAAATTTCCCAATTCTAGCAATCAATTACCTCCTCTCGGTCTCAAATCGATCACAAATATGCATTCACAGTGACCATCTACTCACACAATAATAATAAGCAAAAGAAATTCATAAACGAGAGATAAACCAGAATGAAATAAAGAAAAACTAAATCATAAATCAATTCGAGTACTAACAAATCCTAGAATCTAAGATAAATCTAGCCCAGAAACATGTTTTCAAAATAAGAAAAATAAATATAAAATATTGAGTTCGAAAGAGGAAAAGAAAATGAAAGAAAAAGCTTATTCGGCTCCGTCGATCCTTTCTTCCCGGCTTTCTCCCTCGTCTTGCTCGTGTTTCTAGCCTCCAAAGGTCTCCAAAGATGTAAAAATTATGTCCAAGACTCCTCAAGAACGTGTCCAATGGTTGTATATATAGCTGAGGTCGAGTCCTAGTCGAAATAGGTCGAAAATACCGAAAAAATAGGAAAAACGCGTAAATCTAGATTTTGTCGCGCCCAGGGTCACACGACTCGTGTCATAAGTCACACGGGTCGTGTGTCAATGCCGAGAGCAGGTTTCACGACTCGTCGGAGCGACACGAGTCGTGTCTCGGGCTCACACGACCTGTGTTGACCTGGGCACCAAACTCGTAATCTTCACTTTTAGCTCGTATATATGCTCTTGGTCGGTTTTCCGGCGTCCCAGTAGACTCCCAGTGATGAAAATACATCCATGTCACCGGACATGGCGAGCTCCGGTCAGATTCCGGCGACGGCCTCAGCTCCAAGCAAGGGTGCAGCAGCGACTCTGGGAAGCTCGTTTTTCTCCGGCACTGTGTTCTGTACTGATATAAAAAGTCCCAGGTAGGTTATCAGCGGTCGTACGTGGCGTCCAGGTGGTGCGCCATGGCTGTTTCCGGCCAGCTCTCCTCAGCCCGTCTTCAGCAGTTGCTTCTCCGGCGTATGCGTGGCCGTTCTTCGGCGTTCTGAAATCAGGTCGGCGGCGGTTCTTAGGTCGCAGCTCCGGCGACATATGGCGAGAGGTCCTTCAAGCTCAAAAATGGCAGCAGCGACGGGCGTTAGAAGTTGGCTTCATGTGGAAGATGAAGATAGATATCAAATGACAAATTCGCCCCTCATTTAATTGATGTGTTGGGCTGTTGTTGTGGACCTTGTTGGGCTGATCTGTGGCCCAAAAACATGTTACCTTATTCTCCTTGCGGGCTGTGTATTGGGCTCTTCCAAATGCATGGCTCGCACACTGTTTATATCCCTTTCGCGCTGTTTCTGACTCCAATAATTATTTCGACCCAATTTTCTGTTGAAATTCAAAATAACACACTTCATCATAGCTTAATAAAAATAATTAATTAATTAATTAATTAATTAAATATAATTAATTATTATCAAACTACGACGAAACGGACACGCAAATCACTATAAAATGCACGTAAATATGACGCATATCAAAAACCAATCTTTTGATTAGAATGTTTAGGATTTATTTTGCTTTTATGTGTTATCAACACCACTTCTAAATTCCAAACCGTCTTCCTCGAGAGATTGACTCGGGAAACGAATCTTTTGATCGGTACTCGGTAAAAAGAAAACAATTTGTGCTACAACAGTGGATATGTGTGATATATTGATCTAAAGATAAAAGCCCGTTTGTATATATACATTGATCTAATGATAAAACATATGTATTGATCTAACCATCAAAAACTCAATTACTGTATATGCATGTATTTATCTAATCGGTAAAATGCCAAATCTTGACAATATTATTGTTCGCTTTTTTCACATGTTAGTGTCTTTATTTCCATTTTTACCACTTTTTTAATGTTTAGCATTTTAATATTAGCTATTACATTATTTCTACATTTTTTTTTTTTTTCTTNATCTTAAAACCCATATTCCATGCTTGATTTACTGAAATGCTTCGTTTTGAAAAACGAGAGAGTGTCGTTTGTTGTCCAACTTGAGAAGCTGCATACAGTTGAACCATAAAGGAAAGTTAAAATGCACAATCTCATAGGTGACACTGTAAATCAATTTCGAAAATTCATGCCAAAGACTACTGTTCTACTGGTTAAATGGTTACTCTGCAGACAAAGTGCTCCGAATTCTCAAGCCTAACTCTTTATCACAAATGTTCAAGACATTGGCCAACATGGAAAGAAACAAGTCAAAGAAAAAAATCAACTATCAACGATCGATAACCCGAGAAACTCTCTCAAAAAAGAGGCGACACATACTTGTGCTAAAGATAATTGTCTCCTTCATCCACTCGTGTGCAACTCGCTCGATTGTACCCAAAGATAACACATTGTACATCAATTCCACTTCTCCTCGTGAATTTTTTATCCATGTCAGGCTGAAGGAATAGCCTGCAGTACCAAAGAAACGATTATCAGGCAAAATTAAGTTAAACTGTACATAATATGTAAGAATTTCATTCCAATCCAAACCATTTACTCGGCTAAGTCACAAGAAACTGAAATTTTCAAATGAAAGTTTACCACTGGATGGATGACGGGCCAACATAGACAGTTGGCCACTACTTTGAGCAATAGGTGAGACTTTCATGCCAATAACAAACTCGACAAGATTCCGATACACACAGTCACCATCTACCATAAAAAAAGCATCAAGTCAAACTCACAGAACCACGTTACAAGGTGAAAAGTAAAAAATAATTTTACTTCCCCAGGCATACCTGAATGTAAAATATTCTCTTCAAAGCAGACGGGCTGAAACGCAATTCACGAAAACTCAAAAACAAAAAAACAATAAAACAAGAAATGGAAAAGCACGGTTCAACTGCAGACTACACACAGCTTAAGTACCTTAGACAAATGCACATGTTCGGATTCTGTATTCACTGAGGGAGTGGCTGTAACTTCAGTAGGAAGCACAGTTTTACGTTTTTTCACAAGGTTTTTAACCGAGTCACGGCCCATTCCTTCAGATGGAGTATCATCATGTGATGCGTCCTGCTCAGGTACAATTTCCCCAGGTATGGTACAGTAAGAGCATTGATTATGTTCATTACTTTGAAGCCGGGCAATTTCTTCTGAGAGTTCCTTTACTACAACACCGCGCATAAAGAAGAGTTAAAACATTAATACAAATCCATAGGGAAATCCGAGTATACGTAGTACTAAAAGAATGTTGTGTACAAGCAAGAGTAATCTACTTTAGTTATAAACACAGTAGGACATCACAATATTTTCAGATACGTATAAGAGATTGTGTCCTCATTCCTCACAATATTTTACGTATAAGAGCATACCTTAGCACGTGCAGTTTTACGAAAGGAACTCAAAATAGATTGTGAGGAAACTACTGCGAGAAGTTACAATTCATCTTGAGTACTTATCCGTGGGCATGCTAGTTCATATACGAAGTTGGATTATCATTACTTGTCAGACAATATCTCTAAACGGCTCCTAAAAGAACAGCAGTCGTACATTAGATGGGTCATAACAGAGTGATGTTTTGGTGAGAAAGCCAGAAACATTATCTCTCAAAGTTTTTGGCCTTTCTTTAGAAAAAGAATTACTTGCTGACTCGTTTTTGCCTTGATAGAATATAGGGGTCTGCATGTATTGTTCCAAAACAAAAATTTTAACTACTTCCAATATCTCGAAGAGGAAGGTGTATGTGTTGATGATACAAATCTCTATATTTAGATGCCGCTCACTTTTTTCCTAACTTCTAAAACTAAGAAGTCCAAGATCAGTACTACCGCAATTAGAAATTACAAGAAACGTTCGGTACGACATGCTATAAATTAAGACTACTTTCCTTACTCTTTTGGTTCTGTTCTTTCAAAAGCTTTTGGTCCTGGCTATGTTTTTCCTCACTTGAAGATCTGCACCAAAAACAACGTTTATGCTTCACACTAATAATGAAAATTAAATCCTATGACATTTCAGGATTATCTTGTATGTTCATGCCTGATTGAGGAAAGTTCACTTTTCAATTCGGCAACTTGCCCATTCAGCTTGTCATTCTCACTTTTCAAGTACTGTATCATCTCATCAGCAGCTGTATTAACAGATATACCGAGGATTTTAGACAAAATTATGATGAGCGTCAAGAGGACTCATCCATACCAGTGGGAAATAATGAGTTCATAACTTTGTAATGCACAATGATCATTTTGTACATTTTGCCCTTTTCCCCAATGAATCGATAAGATGGAATAGTATCAACCCAGAGGTTATAAGATCTTTTTTCACATATCCAACAATGATAGTTACTATTAAACAATATTATACAAAAATATGATACACGACCACAAGAAATTGTATCACGAAACCTGTACATGCTATATGACAAACAGCAGTGACATGTGATCAGCACAGGTTAACAAGAAATGTTGGGTTAAGGAAAACAACCGGAATACAGATGGTACTCAATTCATTAACATTCCTTCGACTTAAAAAGAAATATGCGATGAAAAACGATATGATACCAGCTTCAAAATTCAAGAAATTCACTTCTTGATCATAGTTCAGCTTGTCGAACTGAGATTCTTTTTCATTCTGCACGAGAAAAAAGAAAAGAGAGACGGTAATTCCACAATTCAACCATTATAAACATGTATCAGATAAAGGTTTGCTTGGAAGTCACATAAAGGAAGACCTTGAGCTTGGAGTATTTTTCATAGAGCTTTCTGTAAAGCGCCTCCATCACTACAACCTTAACAAGAAAGAAGAAGACGACTCAAAATAAGTTAGATACTGCTAACTCATTTCATCAATTTCCAAAAAATGTTTTGAAATAAGACAGCCCTAATTCACATTTGTACATAGTGACAAGGATACAAAAAGGAATCATCAGTCACATCCGAATTTCTTACTTGAGTTGTAATCTAGCATACAAAATGCTCTTCTTCCCGAAAGTAGACAAATAGCACGAGCAATCTACTAGCTGAAAACTCGCTCAGCAAGCCCTCGACCTCAATTTTCTTCGCGCACCTGCTTTTCTGCAATTAACAATCAACTCATGCCTCAAGAAAAGCTTACAGAGTGCGTGTGCGTGTGTAGAGAGAGATGAATCTGGGGTTTTGAATTCGATTATATACAGAATTTGAATTTACTTACTGTTCGCTTGTCCCTCCTCTCTAAAACAAAAAAGAGAGAAATAGGAATTTATAAAGTTCTTCCTTCTTACCCATTAAAGTTAATTGAAAATCATATACTTGTACCAAATTATTTTCTCAATATACCACAAATATATAAATTATTTTATTCATGTTATTAATGTAAAAGTTGCATGGTTAAAATAAAATTTAAATCTCAATTAATTTTGAATGATAAAACTGACTTAAGAAAAACTAATAATTTTTATATGATAGAAGTACATGTTTAATTAATAAATATAAACAAAAACGTATTTTATATCTGTGTACGTACACATATCAAATACTAGGTATATCGTAAGATGAAAATGTCAATTTTTTTATATCCAATTGAGCTCTTTAGTCTTGATGAGTGGATAATGATTTTACAGTTGTACTCCAAATCGTAATAGCTCAACATGAACAATTGTCACGTGTATAAAATAAATACTATTAATTGTCAATCACAAATCAATGGCAAGATTGGATTAATTAGTATAATTGACATGAATAATCACAAATTCACAACTATATATATCCATTAATTAGGTAATAAAAAATAGAGAGTTGTGACAGTTTTGAGGTATGTACTATGTATTGTACATCGGTGGATAAAAATTAAACATGTGACACCGAATTTAAATGAAACTGAAAATTGTATCTTCAACATTGACATATCCTTGGAATCTGTCAAGCCACTCAAAGTTTGTCTGATAGCTAATCATCTTCCAAGATCACAGGAGACAAAGTTTGGCACAGAGACGGGAAAAAACAACAAAACAAAAACAAAAACAAAAAAAAACAAAAAACTCCCTAATTTAGTTCCTCTTTTTCTCTATCTCTGTGTTTTGTATGCCTTTTGTTTTCTTTAATTTCCCTTCTTTGTTGCTGTCCCTTTTGCTTTTGTTAAGGTTTGTTTGTGTTTCTTGTGTTAGTGAAACTATTTGTTACAGACAAAAGGAAGCCATGAATGGAAAGGCCTCTGTCTCCAAGGAGCTCAATGCAAAGCATGCAAAGGTGACAAGTTTTGTTTTTAATTTTTTTTTCAATATATGCTTCATCATTTACATTTATCCAGTTGTTAATTTCATTCATTTTGAGGTTTTCTGTTCATCATTTTAATTATCGATTTAGTTGATAGAATAACTTGTATAACGGAGAAGAAGATTTTTGGAAAGTAGCTATTTTATATGTTTTATCCTGATATAAGTTTTTGAAGACAAATCAAACATAGTTGGCATGAAGATTTCTTTAAAATCCTTATATTTTAACATTGTTTCTTGTCATAACAATCGTCTTCATTATTAGATACTCGAGGGTCTTCTTAAGCTGCCCAAGAACCGAGAATGTGCAGATTGTCGAAGCAAGTATGATAAATCCTACTTTTTATGATAGTTCAATTGTTTTGATGAGTAATTTGATGTTAAACTTATTTTGGTTTGAGTAATTTTTCAGGGCGCCGAGATGGGCGAGCATCAACCTCGGTATATTTATATGTATGCAATGTTCAGGAATCCATAGGAGCCTTGGAGTACACATCTCAAAGGTTTTTAATTCAAACTTGGCTTTTAACTTAATTTCTTTTGACATGTTACACTGTCTTGGTCGTGTCGTGTGCTCGTTTATTACCACGTAAGTTTTGGTTGTAATCTGTCAATAGTTTCTTTTACTCTTTAACAGGTCCGGTCTACGACTTTGGACACATGGCTTCCCGAGCAGATTTCGTTTATGCAGAGTAAGTCTTGTTAACAAACATTGTGCTTTTGAGTTTTTTTTTTTCTTTTTTTCTTTTTGGGGTTATCAACAGATTTCGATTGAAATGCCCTTGGATAGTATTTTCGGATCAAAGTTGAGATTTTGATATTTATGGTCAACTTGCTAGAAATGCTCCAAGATTTTCTCAAAATACTACTCTATCTGCAGAATCCCAAATTTATATATCATATTTTGCAATAAAATTCGGGTCTTTGACGTGCAGTGATGGGAAATGAGAAATCGAACGAGTACTGGGAAGCTGAACTACCTCCAGATTTCGACCGGAATCCTATCGAAAATTTTATACGAGCCAAGTAAGTAACTCCATGATGAACATTATAATAAGATGAATGGTCTTTTGATTCTTTTTCAATTTACTCTTTCTCTTTATCCAGCTCTTAGTTCTTTCTTTCTGTTGATTTCAGGTATGCCGACAAACGATGGGCTTCTAGAACATCTCCCGAGCCCGGACTTGTGGTTAACCAAGAAAAGAAAATTACAGCAGGAACTTCTTCTAGAAGGGACATCCCAAAGAAAGCAAGAAAGTACTCTCTCGACGAAGAATTTTTCGCCAACGAAATGCCTCAACCCGTTCCCATAACACGAAATCGAGGGGTATCGATCTTTCCAACACTGATATGAGTACACTGAGTTTATGTATTAATGTTTTTTTTTTTTTTCACACATTTTGTTTTTCACACATTTTGGTTTTGAAAACAGAGTTCTCTTGATTTGATGACTGACATAATCCCGGGCCCACCAAACACTGGCAATAATGGCGAGTCTCGTAAAAGTGTGGATACGGCCACAGACCTATTCAGCTTGCTTTATGTGTCCGAAGCTAAGCAAGATCGAACAGTCGTGCCTCCATCACGATGGGCTACTTTCGAGTGTAAGGATTACATATATATTAACGAACAAAATTATAAATGGTCGATAAACATCACAAGCTTGACAAAGGTTTTAAATGAAATAGCATTATATTATGGATAGTGTTTCTTACATTACAATGCATAAAAGTGCATCCCCTTAGCATGATTTTCAGAGATAAAAGAAAATTAACCGCATTTTGATGTATAGCTGCTAATTAACCAGTGAAAATTAATTTGTCTTTTTAGGAGGTGATGCATTTAGTAGAGAAGATCATTTTTATATATATCTGCAGAATACTTCACTTCACTGGCATACACTTTGCGGTTACGTGGGGATATTATATTATACAAAGGTACCTCTTAAACATAAAGAATCACTATTTTTCAGCTTAAACATGAAAGGAAGCTATTATTTACATTGTTCTCTTGGCTTTATACTACAGGCTCTCTACCAGTCTCCAGATATGAAAGCATCATCAGCGGGTGGTCACGAGAAGAACGTATGAAGCACTGTTTTTATTTTTGTTTCTTTTGTAATCAACTCTTTTGCTCAAAAACGCAGTAAATCTATATATCTTGTTCCTCTAGTTATCTTCATTTTCTATATTTTTGTGGAAGGATTCAAGAGAGAAATATGAGTGATTGATGGTGTAAAAAATCCATTTTTGTTTATTACTTTATTTTTCAAACTCTACATAACTAGATTTTAAAATTAATAATTTGTTTTTTTAATTAATATAATTTATAATTATCTTTCGAATGACCATTTACCTTAATTTAATACATTTGCACGGTCAATACTAGTTTGTCATAACAAATCAAATCTAGTATAAGTAAATCTCATTCACCTTAAATTAATACATTTGCACGGACAATATCATTTGTAATAACAAATCAAATATAACATAAGTAAATATATTCCAGCTTATAGTGTTATATTAATTTTTTGGTTTTTATTTTTCATATATGATTTGTTTGTGATCCATGATAGATAGTTGGTAAATAAAAACTAGAAAAGTGAATTGTGAAGGTGCAGAGTTTGGCGGAAGGACTAGAAGCTTGTGGAAAGAGTGTGTAAGCTTCTAAACTAATTAATACGAGCCTACAATATGATATAGTGTAAAAATAACATAGAATGTTCCTTAACATTTAGGATATTAAGAGCTAGAGATATTAGAATGTTGCTTATAGCATATTAGGAGAGAGAGATGTAAATAATCTTAGCATTTAAGATATTGTAAGATTAATATCATAGATAGGGAAAGTTGACAGTCTATAAATATGGCCAATTCCAAAAAAAAAAAACTTAAATAATTTTGGGAATTAAATTATGAATTTTCTTATATTAATTGAAATTATAAAAGTAATAAAAAAAAAATTAGTTATAAAATCTAATCTATCTAAGAATAAAATCTAAACATAAAAAATAAATATGTAGGTCTATGTTTCCATTTGATGGTATCATTGCTGCATATGAGGTACCAGGCTGTCACCAATCGAAGTGGGTTGAAGATATTAGTCTGTAACAACGAGACTTACCACCAAATTAGACCCAAAACGTTGTGTACAAAGAAGTGTTTACTAATTTATAAAGTTTTAAATTTGTCTTTTTCCATTTTATATTTGTTACATATCTACAAACTGCATTAAATTTAATGTTACTGTTAAAAAAATTCAGAAAAATATACCACATCGCATACTAATAGAAGATAAATAGTGGACGTGCAGTGTTAAACACATATGTTAGCCTCTTAGTAAAACTGAGACAAATAACTTAAAATATGATCTTTATTGTAAAAAAATCTTTATATTAGAAAAAGAATAAAATTCATACCACTTCATCACTACGTACTAAATCTATATCTATATATATATAAAGAGGTTGTTGAAAAAATACATTAATAGAAAGTTTGACCAAATAAATATAATGTTTGACTTACTATTAATGGAAAGTTCGAAAAAACACATGTAAATCTTTAGAAACAAAATCTGAATCCTATTTTTTCGGTAACAAATTTAGAGATTCTAATGGCAAAATTTGAATCCCATTTTTTTAGTAACAAAATTTGAAACTGTCTAACACCACTAGAGGAAGGGGGAGAATGGCGTCAACGCTCTGCAGTATCTACCCTGCCCGAAGGGACGAACCCATCCCGAAACGACCACCAATCCACCCAACCCGAAATGACAAACCCCGACCCAACACCCCTGCACATCCGAGGTGTCGGAGACCAGACTCCGGTAGAGCCCGAAAATCCACAGTCGGTTTGACCTCCAAGCCCGGCGAGAAGAGACTCTGCGACCAAATCCCAAACCCGAGCTCTCATCCCAGTCACTGAAGTCCAAACCCCGCCCACAGAAGAGTCAGGGACAATCCTTATCGCATGTTGGTTTATTTCTTAAAAAGTCGGTGTTCAGTCATGGGCAATTATATGTTGCCATCTTCCCTGTCAGGACACGTGGTCCAATCCCCGTATAGCGTGGTTTTTTTTTTCCAGATAGGAACCCTTTGACTTCCCCCGAAACCTAGTCCACGTCACCAGGTCGAATTCTCGTTTTGGTATATTGTGGCGCTCTTCAGTTCACCTATCTGTTAGATAGGACATGATCGATTCGACCTCTCGGTCTTCTAAGATAAGGTCGAAGATTGGTTCGGGTATTGTCCTCCTGGTCGAAGTGAATCGGGCTGCTTCGGTAACCCGGCCTAGTTGCTTGGTTCCCTTGAGGGGTTCGAGTCGGTACTATATCCTATATCAGTGTGGTTTATTTATTTTCTCAAAATTGATTTTCGGTGAGTGAGCAATAAATTATTTAAGTTAGCCATAAATGGGCACGTAAAACAATGGTTGTGAATTTCGAAGGATAAAAAATTCTTTCCACATTGGACTCTTAAAAGAGATTAACACTCTTTATTAATAAAGAAAGTAAGAGAGGCCACAACAAAAACAAAGTTAAGCACCAAGTGTTGGTATTAGCTTCGGCCACATGCGCGCGCCCGCCCGCCCGTTGGCTCGGGCTCGAGCTCGAGCACGGGCGTGAACTTGGGACTTGGCAATTGGAGTGTGGGATGGACTTGGGCAACCTTAGTTGGTCTGGGCCGGTCTTCGGCCTTTTGGCTCATCCCCTATAATCTTTTTTCTACAAATTTATTTGCAATTTTGAAGCCCAATATAAAATCCAAACCGAGTTGGGATTGGACTCAGGTTTTAACCGTGTGAGACATTCTTCTGGGCACATTGAGCTTGTGACCTTTTAGTGTAATGAAGGTGAGTAAACACCTGAGAAACTTGCCCAGGTGAAATGAAGGTGAGTTAACACATAAGAAACTGCCTAGTTACAATAGCCATTAGTGGGTTGTCTACCTGACTGGAAGTCTTATAATAGAACAGTATAGAAGCTGCAGAAGACACACAACTACTACTGTTAAATTAAACGAGTCTGGCTCGGTTTGGCTCGAGTTCGAGTCCTTAACAGGCCGAGCTCAAGCTTATTTAAAGTTCGTTTGGTTAACGAGCCGAGCGCGGCTTATTGGGTTCTGTTAGGAACGTCGTCAATGTGCACATTCAAATCTATTGAAAAATAAATCCTAACGCAGCGGAATCTATAGTTAAGATCATGACTTACGGTTTAAGATTTTTTGCCGACTTTGAGACGTTTCTGATTTCCTCTGTAGGAGATCGTCTGAACTGCAGAGTCCGTTGGGCAGCCGGACCTAACCTCATCAATGCGTTCCGGTTGCTTCTCGGGCTCGTCGGATTGTCTCGGACCTTCGGTAGGTTAGTCGGACTACTTGAACCCCTCGGGAACCATCACGGACATGAACCGGGGCTTCTGGACAGAGTTGAATTGGTTGGCCGGACTGGACTGGACTGATTCTAGATTTCGAACCGCCTTCCTCGAGAGATCGACTTGAGGTATGGATTCAAGCCCTACATGGTAAAAAATAATCATTTGCCTCAAATCTAACTAGAAAAGTGAAGTTGAAGGTTCATAGTTTGGCTTAAGAGACTAGAAGCATGAGTGAATTATTTGTGAATAGTGTGTCAGCTTCTAAAACGTAATTGAAGACTAAACTATATAATAGATTGATATTGTAAGAATATTATCATGTGTAGATTGTTGGTAGCATTTAGATATTAGTTTTGAGTGGAAAGTTTGCTGCCTATAAATATGGCAAAGTTTGTGTAGATTGGAAAGTTTGCTACATCCAAGTTCAACAAAAGATTGATATGGTAAGAATATTATCCAAATGTGAGTCAGCTTCCTTCTTCTTCCTCGATGAACGTCGGTGAACGTCGGTATGAGGGCGACAAAGTGTGCCGATCAGCCCTAGACCAACTCGGCCTCTTCTCGACGAGCCAGTTTGGCATGTTTCTTGAATTTCTTGTTTTGTCAGAGTCAAATGAGGATCGCTGTGACTTATTTTAGATCTTTGGATCATCTTATTTTAATGGTCTATGTCTTTCAGTCTATTATTCAACATAAATTTTTTCCCTTAACCTCGATCTTTAGAAGGGGCATCGATTTTATCAAATTCATCGATTTTCATCAAATTCATGAGCTTCTAATCAACTTAAAAATCCATATGGGAAATAGCATAAATTTCTCGTTGTATAAAGTATTAAAAAAATGATGCACAATTATCAATAATCTCGATACAAGCATTTTAACGCAATCATTTATTTCGTCGGTTGTCCAATTGTTATTATCTTTCTTATGTCCATATTGAGTCCATACATATTTTCTCTTTCATTTCTTCTTAAACAAAAATATAATTTCGATAACATATTACCGCGTCGAATCTCACGTCAATAGCTTGTTTAATAAAAACTAGGAAGGTGAATGTGGAAAGTCCAAAGTTTGGCAGAAGGGACTCTAAGCATCAATGAACTTTTGGAAGAGTGTAAGCTTCTAAAACTAAAACTAAATAGTAAATAGAACGTAAAGAATAGGGACTAGAAGCATGAATGAACTTGTTGTACACAAAAATCGTTGATCCGAGCTAATCCACTTTAGCATCAAGGGCTTAAGCGACCAACTTACTTCGGCATAACATTGAAAGCCCTAAACACAATACAAGAAGACACTCCTGAAAGAAACATCGACTTGGTGCGTCGATCTCATCCTCAGCGTCGATCTCAAATAGACTCAATTTGAAAAGGTTTGTCACACAATCAAATCCATAGTACAAAATAATTTATCCACTTGAAAAGAAAATATGTCTGAGCGCCAGGGGTGGAGCCACCCCAGCCTTTGGGTGGGCTTCAGCCTAGGGTTGATTAGTAATTTCTATTTGGACCCATATTAGTAATAGGATGGTAACCCAGTTTGATATTATTTAGCTTAGACAAATTGAAGCCAAAAACAAGCCAAATTTTACATTATTAGGCCCAGCTTATTAAAAAACCTAAAAACAAATAATATAATTCTTTTGAATCCTTTTTTATTTAGTGCCTAGACTTCCGCCTCTTTATTGGTGTTATCCTCCTTTTTTTCTTGTTGGCTTTGGGTATTTGTCTATTTTTCCGTGATTTTATTATTACTACTAGTTGACATATCTTTTAATATTGAAATGATTAATGTGCTTAATTAAATTTTACTAAATAACATAGGTGATGATCAATCCCTCTGAGATTTTATGTGAATTAAATTTTGTTGTTTTCTCTTATGGAGTTTAAATTTAGGATGTGTAATTATTTGTTTATTAGTTGTTGATTAATAATTTAATCAATAATCTCACTTTATTAAGACAATGAATTCTAAGTCTTCTTTTATTTATGGTAAAAATACATTACTTTAAGCAATGTTTCGTTGTTACCCGTCCGAATAATTCTAGTCTTCTTTTATCTATGGTAAAAATACATTACTTTTAAGCAATGTTTCGTTGTTACCCATCCGAATAATTCAACCGGGTCAGTTTCTGCTCCGGCTCCAGGTTAATTGGGTCCCGGATTGAGCCAATTATTTTCGCATACCGATCAATCTAGGATTGTTTCGTTTTTT